ACCACGTGCGGGTGCACATGTACAGTGCGATTGAAACTTCGTGGCCCATGCACAGAAGTCGGTATTTTGTGGAAGAGCCACACTCAAGGGGCCAAAGAGCCGCATGTGGCTCGCAAGCCGCAGTTTGCCGACCACTGCCCTGGGCTGAAGAAACTCCAAGGAGGCTAGTCACTAGGGAGAGCAAGCCTGGCGTTGCTATGTGACATCATTACCCGGCACCCACAGCCACCATTTCTGGGCTGGGCTGGGCTGTGGGTTGCATTTTGCATGATGGGGTCTTGGCAGTGTTGGCTGCGATTTGGTGGGGTGTCGCTCTGGGTTGGTGGCAGGGCCTGGTCCCACTTGGGGGAAGCCGAGTGTTGGTTTGTCAGTGCCAGGTCCACGGTGCCATTTATTTTTAAACGGCCAGCGCATGTCATGGCAGCTCCTGCATTGAGCATCTGCCCCCTGGTGGTCAGTGTGAGTCATAGCTACTGGTCTGACAGACAGACACTTAGTCTTTTACATATACAGATAAGCTAATTAAATACAAAAGTGTATGCCATGTGAAAATGTCCCCACAAGTAAGCTGAAAGATTATCATTCAGCAGGGGGTTAAGGAGAAAGAATCTATGACTAACAGAATCTCAAACTGCTAGACCAGGAGCCAGCTTTATAGAGAGTAAGAATACCCATGAAAGAAAGAACAAGCCCACTGGGGGCCAAGCAGGTGGGAAGCCTGGTGTGCCTGTCACTCTGGGCCTGAGGCAGTACCTGGCACAGGGTAACCCCTGCTGTGTGAATGGCTTCAAAATAGTGGAAATTGTGCAGCTGGGAGTTTATCCCCAACAAATACCATAACTTTTTAAGGGCAACGTAATGGAGCGGAAGATTAGAGGAGAGTTGCCAGCCTCTTGAAAAAATAGAGAGGAGGTGCCCAGAGCAAAATCCACAGAAAAAAATAGTAGGAACAGAGCATGCATCTCATCAGTGCCTATATTACTGAGGAGCAGTCGTGATCTGCTCCAGACTCCGTCAAGGACAGAGGAGATACAAAGAGATGCAACAAATAACCTTTTGAGAAAATGCATGCCACCTATCACAAACAGTGTAGCTATATATCATTTCCTCTTCAAAATGAGACTGTATTCACTTATGACATCACAATAGCTCATTGGAAAAAAGATTATATTTCGTAGATGTGTGGAAATTAAAATTACACAGACTGAATATTACTTCACAAAGACTTGATCGCAACTGACATACAATTTCCTTAAAATACAGCTGACCATCCTTCATATCAGAATAAACAGCTCTCTAGTGAACTCTAGTTCAGGTTAGGGGTGGTAGTGGCTACCTGTAGAGCTATATTGAGAAGGATTTTAAGATGGGTCCAGCACAAAAGGAGAAAGTGCAGTGATAGATGGCAATGCCCACCATGGGCAGAGAGGGAAGGGGAGGGTATGTGGGCCACTAATTAGATTGGCATTCTTGGCCCAGGACATTCACCCTCGTACACATTTCTGAGGTCATCAGCCAACATTTAAAATCAGGACACAATCATAATTGTGCTACCTTTTATAGATATTCTAAAAACATTTGTACTCTACGGATCAGCCAGAAGTTGGCAGAGGTTAAACTGAGATGCTCGAGAACATATAAAAGTAACACCATCCCCACAATCCATTCTTTGCCAGGAGAAAGATTACCTGATGTCCTTGGGGAGTTCTGGCAACTGCATCTTCTTGATCATGGCGTAGTGTGAGATGGCCAGTACGGCCATGCCCAGGCACTCGTTCTCAATGTCGTGCCCATCCTGCTCAGTCTTGGGGTCTCGGATGGGAGCCAGGCATTTGACCAAATCATACTGTCCCTTTGGAGCAGAGGTGAGAAGAAATGAACCACACTTAAGTTTCAAGCATAAATCCATGCTTCTAATCTTGAGAGGAAGGTTCTCCACACAGGGAAGTACTACCCAGAGAAGCAGCACAGCAATGAAACTAATAAGTCCGATAGTTTGCAACACACAACAAATGCTGGCTAGGACGCGGAGAAAAGAGAACCCTCGTGCACTGTTGGTGGGAATGCAGGCTGAGGCAACCATTGTGGAAAACAGTATGGCGTTTTCTCAAAAAATTAAAAATAGAACTGCTGTTTGACCCAGCGAACCCACTTTTGGTAATATATCCTATGAATCCTGAAACACCAATCAGAAAGAATATATGCACCCCTATGTTCACTGCAGCATTATTTACAATAGCCAAGATTGGAAACAGCCCAAGTGCCAATAGATAAAAACGTTGATGAGTGGATAAAAACGTTGTGATACATTCACATAATAAAATCCTATGTGGCTGTTAAAAAGAAGGAACTCTGACCCCGTTGCAACAGCATAGATGGACCTGGAGATTATAATGCTAAGGGAAATAGCCAGAGAAAGACAAATATCATATAATCTCACTAATATGTGGAATCTAATGAACAAAATAAACTGATGATCAAAACGGAACCAGAAGCATGGATATATGGAAGAGACTGGCAATTGCCAGAGACGAGGGGAGGAGAGTTGACGGGATAAAGAAGATGAAGGGATTAGCTAAAGAACATACATGCATACCCCAGGGACACAGACAATAGTGTGGTAAAAGCCAAGGGAGTGGGTGGAGGGCAAAGGGTGGAAGGGGTGGTGGTGGTGACACATGCAATGTCAACATTAAAATTTTTAATTAAAGAAAAAACAAAAACAAAACACTGATAGTTTGTCTAACACCAAAGCCCTTTCTCAACAGCTGGGTGTGAAGGGGCTCAGGAGATGTTCTCCCCAGGCTAATTAATTCATTTAACAAATACTTATTGAGCATATGCTAGGTCCTGATGAAGAGCATGAACATTTATAGGGCTTCCCCTGTAAACGGTGAACAGCAGCGTCGTACTAGGTTTGGATGGCACCAGGGCAAGGGAAGGTGACAGCTGGCCGGGGTTGATCACTCACTAATCCCACAAGCTTGTACTGAGACATCCTCTCTCGGCACTGGGTGTATGACTGACAAAGCATCACGCCCCAATCTCATGCAGACTTAGAGGAAGGGGAAGAAGTGCACATTCTACAATGCTCCATTACCACATGTAAGTTTTTTTAACATCTGCTGCTCATGTTTCCAGTAGTGAAATGTATAACTAAAATACTGATGGGAGATGCACAGCATTCCAAGAGCCAATGAGGGCTAAATACATAAATAAATAAAACCAAAAGGCTGTACCCACCACCTGCCTTGTACAGACTGATGAAGATGAGGTCAATGCTAGCTCCCCTCTATGAAACCCTTACCTCAGTGCTAGACACTGTACTGTTTCATTTATCTTCACAACAGCCCTATGAGGTACATGTTAACATCATCACTACCTAACAAATGAGAAATCTAAGGCGCCAAAGGTTAAATGACTTCATTCATTCATTTGATAACTATGAATTACTAAGAACCAATTATAGGCCAGATGTTACTCTAGATGCTAGGGATATAGCAAACCAAACTACGTCCCTGACCTCATGGAGATTCCATTCTAAGAACAGACCAATAGAAATATTAATTATCAGGTAGTTATAAAAATCAACGTCAAGTAGAAAAATGACATGGCACAGAGGCCAGGGACCTAGGGAGTGGTGTGGTAGAGAGTCTAACCTAGAGGTGACTCCTGGACTGTGGTTGTTCAACTCTGCGCTACAGCCGCACTCAATCCTTACTAACTTAAAACATACAGTACTCTGAGGACTGGGAGCTTTCGCCTTTTTCTAGCTGTAACCAGAGGTAGACAATGTCTGGAGGTGGTGCTCCCACATAAGTAAGCCACTCGCTTTCCCTGAAGGGACTTTACTTTCGTGGTTTTGGATGGAGGATTCTCACCAAGGCAGTTCTCCTTCTCTCTAAGATAGGACTTCTCTTTCTCCCAGGTAACAGGACACTGACCACTTCCACATGCCACTGAGCACTGGCCACAATCACCTCGGCCAGCAACGTGTGAAGACAGAACAAACGCCGAGACTATTCTGTTCTGTAAACATCACTGCAAACCTCATGTAGCTCATTCCTGAGGCTCCAAAAGGTCAGATTCCAATGCTATACTGAACTCCTAGTGTATGGCACCCTCTTCCTTTACACTTCCTCTCCCCAAAAGGTAAAAGAACTGGGAGGCTGAATTAAAAAAGACCAATCTGAAAATGGCCAGTTCATTTTTTCAGCACTTGCCCACGGCTATGCATTTCTCTGTGTGCGCGGGATGGGGATGGAGTGTAATCAAGCACTAAAGCTGTACATGGAATATAACTGTGACAAAATCACGTGTATGAAAGTATATCCTAAGGAATCAATAAAACACTATGCATAAACATGTATGTATGAGGCTGCTCACACAGCCTATAACAATGACAGACAGCATAACAGGAAAATTATCAGACTTAATAAATGAATTCGGCAATGTAGCAGGATACAAAATTAACGCCAAGAAATCTATGGCATTTCTATACACCAATAGTGAACTTACAGAAAGAGAGACTAAAAAAGCAATCCCATTTACCATCGCACCAAAAAAATTAAGATACTTAGGAATAAACTTAACTGAGGTAAAAGACCTGTACTCGGAAAACTACAGGATACTGAAAAAAGAGATAGAGGAAAACATAAACAGATAGAACATACCATGTTTATGGATTGGTAGAATCAACATCATTAAAATGTCCATACTACCCAAAGCAATCTATAGATTCAATGCAATCCCCATTAAAATACCAACGGCGTATTTCACAGACCTAGAATGAACTTTCCAAAATTTCATCTGGAATAAAAAAAGACCCTGAATAGCTGTAGCAATCCTGAGAAAGAAGAACAAAGTAGGAGGGATCTCAATACCAGATATCAAGCTGTATTACAAAGCCACTGCTCTCAAAACAGCCTGGTACTGGCACAAGAACAGACATATAGATCAATGGAATAGAATAGAGAACCCAGAAATCAACCCAAACTCCTATGCTCAATTAATATTTGACAAAGGAGGCAAGAGCATACACTGGAGTCAAGACAGTCTCTGAAATAAATGGTGCTGGGAAAATTGGACAGAAACATGCAAAAAGATGAAACTAGACCACCAACTTACACCATACACAAAAATAAACTCAAAAGGGATAAAGGACTTAAACATAAGACAGGAAACCATAAAAATACTAGAGGAATCCACAGGCAGCAAAATCTCAGACAT